TTATTAGTTAATCAAATCCTATTCTTTAGCAATGTGAAAATGTGGATAGAATTTGCTGACATGTTTTTATTTTATATATTTTTTTAAAAAGTCATATATCTTTTTAAACTTAATTTTTAAATACTTAAATTTCAAGATTAATTGTGGCGCTGACACATATGCTGTTTTTCTTCTCCTTTTATATATAGATAGATATTAATCATATAAAATTTTAAATTATCAACCAAACATTAGTAATTTAAAACACTTTTCCATTTAATAAACTTTAATGCATATAGGAGGACAAAGAATTGATTTTACTCGCTACTATTATATTAATTTAATTAATATTTATAAAATTTTATTTTATTGAATTTAGAAAAATACTTTAACTTTTTTTTTTAAATGGTTAATTTTGCTATCATTTATATTTTTCTTTCATCATGCTTTAATTGTATTAATGATATATTTGTTGACGTATATTGTCGGCATCAAATGACTAATTTCTCTGTACAGTAACTTAAATCTCCATAGCTGGGCTGAAGCTCCTATTCTTTTCTGTAGTAATTATTTGTTCTTTGACATTTTGTGCTTCAAATGGGTTACTATTTTTATGGTTTTCATGTTTATTTCTCAATTATTTGGTACTATTTTGTTTGTTAATTCTGAATAGTGGTGACGAAGACTCCCTGCAAGCTACTGGGGCTTTTGCTAATTCCATATATTTTTGTTAGATGGGGATTGAACTTCAATTTCAAAGGTTATGCTGTGTTCATAGCGTCAAAAAATTGTTATCAATTTTTGGAATTGTTATAGCTGTTGTTGTGCTGATATCACAATTACTAGCACTTCCATATGAAAATTACATATCTCTTCTATCTAATGTGGATGGATTTGGGGTCGAAGCTGAAACTGATTTGGCCACTGATGAAAAGAGGAGTAATGTGGAAGTTGATTCAGTGTTAGGGTTTCAGAAATTGGGCAACAGTAGTTATCTTGGAAAGAGATTGAATGCAAATTCAACTATAGGGTTTTACTTGAATGTAAGTACATATTCAAGTCTAGGGAAAATGAGGAATGAATCGGCTCAGATTTTGCAGGTTAAGTCACCTGCAGCTCGTTCAAGTGGTCGGGAGAATGTGATTGTAGATACCGGTAATAAGACGTCGTCGTTAATGGAAAATGAGGCAACAAGTTCCAAATCTAATATCATACCAGCTGGTATCAACAGTAAGAGAAGAAGACCAGCATCAATCTCCTACATGAACACTTTAGTGCAGCAGAACTCTAGTATTAGTTTAGTGGTATGACCGTAGATGTCAATTCTAACTTGAGTGGAGATTAATTACCAATTCATTTTTGTTATCTAACTGCTTGAGTTGTTGGTTGTAGAGATCACAATGGCGTTCTGCACGTGAAGGGGAACTCCGATATGCAAAGGTTCAGATTGAAAATGCTCCGATAATTAGAAACATTCCTGAACATTCATCTATCTTTCGAAATTATTCCAAGTTTAGGAGGTAATTGGATTTGATTTTGATTCTTGTAGTAAACACTTATATCAATGTGTTCATACTTTAATGTATTGTGAGATGCTTTATTGGAGTTGATGTAATTGCAACTCATGTGGTCAAATCTAGAGTCTTCCTGCTGCTGCAGTATAATGTAATATAGCTATTACATTGTTTTGTCTTACATGTTGTTTTTATTACCTTTTGCTTAGGTCATCGTATTATTTGTTATTGGTACGGTTCTTTTCTCCCTTATTTTCAGCATGGTTTCTTCTTTGCTACTGTCATTCCTTTTCATATTGTTTTTTTATATATGCATTATTTAGGCTGAAGGCCCATGAAAAACAGTCTCTCTACCTTGGCAAGGTAGGGTAAGGCTGCGTACACATACCCTCCCAAGACCCACTTGAGGGACTATACTGATTACTGGGTGAGTTGTTGTATTGATTTGGCAGAGATAGGAAAAGCTTGAGAAAAGTTTATCAGCTGGGAAAATTGATTCCTCCATGCCAAAATATGTGATTTTTTTTTTCCAGATGTATACTGTTAAGAAGAGCAATTACTTGAATATTAAAGCCTAAGAAAATAGTATCTCCGTTTTCAAGTACAACTATATACTTATTTGCTTTAAACTTAGTTCCATGAGCTGACTAATTGTACTGTTACATTCTTTTCTGCTTAGTTTTGTTTCAAGTTACCCACCTGTTGGAGGTGGTATCTGGTGGTCAATGATTAGAGTTTTTGCATTTGTTGGTATGAGATTGTGAGACACTATTGAAAATTGAAAGACAGTTTCAATTTGTACTCTCATAGTGATCGAGTCAAATACTCGACCTTATTTTGGGGAAAAGTATGTTCTAGATGTTGAATTGTTTGATCCTTTTGCAGGAGCTATGAGCTGATGGAACGTGTCCTTAAAGTTTATGTTTATAAAGAAGGGGAAAAACCAATATTTCATCAGCCGTATATGCGAGGTATCTACGCTTCTGAGGGGTGGTTCATGAAACTGATGGAGAAGAACAAACAGTTTCTTGTGAAAGATCCCAAAAGGGCTCACTTATTTTATTTGCCTTTTAGTTCTTTGAAGCTACGAGAAGCTCTATCAAAACAAAACTTTACTCATCAGAAAGATTTGGAAAATCATCTGAGCAATTACATTGGAAGAATTTCTAGAAAATATCATTTCTGGAATAGAAGCAGAGGAGCTGATCATATTTTTGTTGCTTGTCATGATTGGGTATGCTTTTTCTTGAACTCTATTCCATTGCGAATGTTGCGTTCCATAGTGCTTCGGCAGTCTAATTGTGTCAATCTACTCATTCTCCCCAGAAACCTCTTTCTGCCAACTTAAGGGAAGTGAAAGAATGAAGTAGTTTTTTTCCTTTTCAATAATAAGTTTATAATCCAGGCATATATATAGTTGTGTTTTTTATTCTTTCATTTCTTTGGAAAAACGTAGAGTTTTGAAGAATTATCGGATGTTTTCTGAATCTGCAACTTGGATGGCGTCCTTTTTTACAAATCTGGAGTACTATCACCTTCAACACTTTATGTTGCTGTGAGGTGTCCATCTATCATTCTTTTACTAAAGTAAAAGTACGTTATAGGCACCCCGACTCACGAGGAAGAACATGGAAACCTGTGTTAGAGTCCTCTGCAATTCAAATATAGCTGGAGGCTTCAAGATAGGGAAGGATGTCTCTCTGCCAGTAACCTATGTTCGTTCAGCTGAAGACCCGCTCAAAGATTTGGGAGGAAATCCTCCTTCAGCAAGACCTGTGCTTGCCTTTTTTGCTGGAGGTATTCATGGTTATCTCCGTCCTATATTATTGCAACATTGGAGTGAGAAAGAACCTGATATGAAGATTTTTGGGCCTATGCCTCGTGATCCTGAGGGTAAAGCAAAATATAGGGAACTCATGAAAAGCAGCAAATATTGCATCTGTGCAAGGGGTTATGAAGTCCATACTCCAAGAGTTGTGGAGTCCATACACTATGACTGTGTACCTGTGATCATATCAGATAATTACGTGCCGCCTTTCTTTGAAGTTTTCGACTGGGAATCATTTTCTGTCTTTGTTTTGGAGAAAGATGTTCCAGACTTGAGAAACATCCTCCTTTCAATTCCCGAGGAGAAGTACATGAAGATGCAGCGTAGGCTGAAGATTGTTCAACAGTATTTCCTTTGGCACAAAAATCCTGTAAGGTACGACTTGTTTCACATGATCCTTCACTCAATTTGGTATGACAGAGTATTTCAGGTAAAATCTAAATAAGGATGCCAAAGGACTTCAGAATTTTGAATACAAAAGGACATGGGCACATAGGAGATATGATCCCGCAGTTATCCCAGATGATTTGAACGAATATGCAGTACCAGATATGATCAAACTCTGTTTTATACAACAAGAATGGTCCTGCCTGGTTCTGGTAACTTCTTAAGCTTAAGTAGTGAATTGCTATCATTCGCGAGCTGAAGTAGGCACTAAGTGCTGATGCCTGATGTTATCCTTGTACCCTGTGTATACTTGTATAATGTTCACTCTGATAATTTACCTATCATTGCCATTTGATCTTTCCACTTTTTCCTTCTCCATGTAAAAATGGAATTTATGACCCCGGATGTATTACAATGTACTTGGGTGCGTTGGCTTCCTTTTTCTTTTTATGCATTACTTGCTTATGGATATAAAAAGATTGTAGCCAGAGTTGTTTAACAGTCCATAACTTTCTACCAGAAATATCTTTCTCTGTTTGGCATTTCACGTGGTTATTCATGGGAAAATTCAACCCACTTCAATATTCCACAATGACTTAACTGCACAGTATACACTTCAGGTATTTATAGAAAATCTTCCTTTTATGTTAGTGAGTTTTTCTTTTGGAACCCTCGAGGAAACATACCGAGTATGTCTACTCTCGTGCCATAGCTTGCAAATTACACGTGAGCTGGAAATTTCATTATGCATGTTCGTTGTGATGAGCTTAACTGAGAAGACATTGACAGAGCTGGGAATTCATCTCTACCACCCTTATGGGATACCACATGCACCAACTCAGCCACACTTGTGAATTATATTAGTTTTTCCTTTAATTAATCTTTCTATTTTTGTTAAAACCAAATAATAGGAGTACTAATAAGTAATATTCAGACATACCAAAATTTTTACACTCTTGTAAAATAATAACAAATCCTCTAATTGGGACACTAAAAACTGAAGAAAAAAAAAAGAGTCATGCTACTGTAGTTGATCAGATGTTTTGGCTATTAATGAAGTGTGATTTTCATAGTCATTATGAATGTTACATGATCAAACCATAGGTAACAATTAGGAAGAAAAAGTAGGTATAGCACAACATAAGTGTATTTGCACCTACCCCAACTCATGTTGAGCAAATGAACTAACCAAAAACCAAAACCAAAACTTCACATTTTTTTCACATATAAAAAACACTATATATATGCATTGCCTAAAGTATAAGCATAGAAATATTACTAAGTACAGCATTTTTACATAATTTATAGACATGGCAATGAAATGGCTAACCCTAGTGCTAACATTGATGGTCATATTTGAAGGGGATTTGATTATGGCTAATCTTATGGAGGTGAAATGCATAAAACATTGCATGAAAGATTGCAAAAAAGTTGGCATTCCCTCTGCTTCCTGCCTCAAATTCTGCCCACTTCACTGCATTCCACCACCACCTATGCTTTCATCTGAAGTCCGCCATTGCGATGTTCGATGCATTCTTGATCGTTGTCTTGACTACAAGAATGGTATGCATATCCATCTTCTCTTACAAAACGTTTTATTTTAAGCAGAGGAGAGATTTATCGAAAATAGTTTATCTATCTCTCTGACTGTATGACATAAGAGTAACACTTTTGATATTGAATGCACACATATCGTATATTAAATATGGTCTAAGAAAGAATGCATAGGTGTAGGTGAACCCACTTTCTTCTACTTAGATATGCCTTGATTTTCTACAATATTAGTGCAATTTCATGGATTATCACATTATATATATTGTTATACATGTCTGAGAAAGGAGCATTGATGCACGTGAACCCATATTGTTCCTATTAAGTAATATACGTCGTTAGTATTAATTTATTTTTGTATATATATTTTGCAGAAGCAGAGAAACTTGAAGGTTGTGCATCCAAATGCAAGAACAATAATGATTACTGCTAAGTGTGTTTTCCCATCACAGGAAATTACTACTTCAATAATGACAACTATACTTCTAGTTTTTTGTTTCCGTTTAGTTCTCTTTTAGTATAATTTTAATACAGAGTTTACATAATAAATGTAGGGCCATGATATGTATAAGGTGGAAAAGTACTTAATAAAATAATTAGTTTTCTTTATCATTGTTTTGCTCACATTTGTGACCGAATTTTAAAATTTGAGTTTCAAAACTTTTCGATGGAGGATTTTAGTGGACATCCAATTCAAATCTTCTTTAAACAGTTTCAAAATTTAGATATGAGTTTTTTTTTATATTTAATATATCACACTCGAAGTGGTTCACATTTACGATAAGTTAAACTTTAAATAATCCAATCAGACACGCATTCAGTTACCAATATCTAGTTTCTAGTTAGAATGATAAATTCCTAAATACAAGACCACCAAAAGAAGTAGAGAAATACAAATACAATTCCCTAAAATCATATACAAATTTGTGCACAACACTAATGAAACAACAATTTATATGAATGCGATTTTAAATCAGTACAAACATATTAAAATTTATAAACGATATAAAATGAAAAATTAAAATTTTACAAATACCTCTAATTGTTCAACAACATCGTCGTACTACGTTTCAGAATCAACATCATTCATTCGTATCTCGACTTTTTGAATTCTGAAATTGCGGGGAGCACAATTTGAAGGGAAAACGCAAATTTTAAAATTTCAAATTAGATATCGATGAGTAAAATTAGACGAAAAATCAGAGAATGAAAGAGAGGAGAGAAAACTGATTTTGATGTATGAAATGAGGAGAAAATGTGGGAGAGATGAGACGTATTCTTTGTTTTGATACAAGTGATATACATGGAATGGAACCTACATTAAAATGACTATATTAATTAAACAATATACGTGAATCGTTATTGAATTAAACCAAAATTGTGTTTAATAATTACATCATAAATATTTGGTATACCGAAACAAAATGACTTCGGTCGAAGGGGTAAATCAGTAATAAACAGTAATTGGCCTATTTTGTAAAGGAAATTTTGACTTAATGGTCATTCTGTGTAATTATTCCTAATAAAATTATTTTTGTTGTAAATCATTTTGGTGGTTAAATGGATGACCATAACTCCTTGGTTAATTTCCCTCCTTTATGAGTAGTAATGTTGTTGATAATGTGGTCAAATGGATGACCATAACTCCTAGGTTAATTTCATCCTTTATTGGTAGTAATGTTGTTGATAATATGGTTAATTGGATGACCATAACTCCTAGGTTTATTTCCTCCTTAATGGGTAGTAATTCTCAAGGTTTAATGTAATGTTTATGACACTTTTTGGTATTCCTCAATGTAATCCTATAAATAGTGGTGTTGAGAATAATGTTGAATACACTTGAAAGAAAGAATGTTAGTCTATATTGTTCCTCTTGTCTTATAGTCTTCTTCTCTTCCTCTTTATATTGTTCTTTTGTCCTTAAGTTTTACAACACGTTATCAGCACGAAACTCTAATATCATTTCGATTTTTCCAAGTTAAGCTTCTGTTTTATCATGTCGAACTTATCAAAGCTTGAGTTCGTGGCACTTGACATTTCTGGAAATAATTACTTGTCATGGGTACTCGACGCTGAAATTCACCTTGACGCTAAAGGTCTTGGTGCCACTATTACCAATGGTAATACAACGTCGAGTCAGGACAAAGCAAAGGCAATGATTTTCCTTCGTCATCATCTGGATGAAGGATTGAAGGTTGAATACCTTACGGTGAAAGATCCACTTGAATTGTGGACTGGTTTGAAGGAAAGGTATGACCACCTTAAGGCAACGGTATTGCCAAGGGCTCGTTATGAATGGATTCACTTGCGGTTACAAGATTTTAAAACTATATATGAATATAATTCTGCTGTATACAAAATTACTTCCCAATTAAAATTATGTGGGGAAGATATAAAAGATGAGGACATGTTGGAAAAGACTCTCACAACTTTTCATGCCTCAAATTTGGTATTACAGCAGCAATACCGTGAAAGGGGATTCAAAAAGTATTCTGAGTTGATCTCATGCCTTCTTGTGGCTGAGCAACATAATACTCTTTTATTGAAAAATCATGAGGCCCGTCCCACGGGAACTGCTCCGTTACCGGAAGCAAATGAGGTTGAAGCACATGGCCAGTCTGAAAGAAGACAAAATAAAAATCAAGGCCAAAATAATGTGCGTGGACGTGGCAATGGCAGAGGACGATATAATAATCGTCGTGGTGGTGGTCGCCACAAAAGGGAGAACAATATGGGTTCTCAAAGCAATCCTTCAAGAGGCAATTGTCATCGTTGTGGCTTGAAAGGGCATTGGAAGAATGAATGTCGAGCAGCTGAGCATTTTGTTAGGCTTTATCAAGATTCCTTGAAAAGAAAAGGAAATAAAAATGGTGCATCTTCTTCTAATGCTAGGGTGGAGTCACACTTGACTTATAAAAATGATGCCAAGGCAGGGCCTTCACAAAAATATGATGACAATATTGAAGCAAATTTTGGCTTTAAAAGATGATGATTTTGGTGACCTTGATGATATTACTCATTTGGAAGTTGAAGACTTCTTTGGAGATCAAAATTAATGTTTGATCATTTGATTGGGGAAAATAATTATGTTGTTTTATTTATGTGTTTTTTTATTGTTATGTTTTTACTTATGTTGTTTTTATATTCAGAAAAAAAAAAGTACTTTTATTTTCTTGCAAAGTTGTTGATTTTTCATATTTCTTATGATGTACTTTTATTTTATGAAGATAAATAAAATTCCCCAATCTTCAATTGGTTCAAGATGAGTAATGTAGATATGTGTCTTCTTGATAGTGCTACAACTCACACTATTTTAAGAGAAAAGAAATATTTCTCTACTTTGATTGTGAAAAAAGCTTATGTTAATACAATATCTGGTAGTGCAAAATTAATTGAGGGCTCTGGAAGAGCGGCCTTACTACTACCTGGGGGAACGATATTAACTATTGAAAATGCATTGTACTGTAGTAAGTCTCAAAGAAACTTATTAAGTTTCAAGGTTATTCGCCAAAATGGCTATCATGTTGAGACTGCCAATGAAGGAAAGGTTGAATACCTTTATATTACTACAATAAAATTGGGGCAAAAATATGTACATGAAAAATTACCCGCATTTTCTTCTGGATTGTACCATACAAGTATCAGTATGGTTGAATCACATGCCATAGTAAACAAAGGGCTTTCTAATTCTAATGATTTTATCATTTGGCATGACCGGTTGGGCCATCCCGGTTATAATATGATGCGCAAAATTATTGAGAATTCACATGGGCATACTTTGAAGAATCAGAAAATTCTTCATTCAAAGAAATTCTCTTGTGTTGCTTGTTCTCAAGGAAAATTGGTTATTAAACCATCAGCAGCTAAGGTTGGGATTGAAACCCCTGCATTTTTGGAACGTATACATGGTGATATATGTGGGCCAATTCACCCTCCATGTGGGCCATTTAAATATTATATGGTCTTGATAGATGCATCTACAAGATGGTCACATGTGTGCTTATTATCAACTCGCAATATGGCTTTTGCGAGGTTGTTGGCTCAAATAATAAGATTAAGAGCACAATTTCCAGATTATGCAATAAAGACAATTCGTCTTGATAATGCTGGTGAGTTTACATCGCAGGCCTTTAATGATTATTGTTTGTCCACTGGAATAACAATTGAACATCCAGTTGCTCATGTTCACACTCAAAATGGTCTAGCGGAATCTTTGATTAAGCGTCTCCAATTGATAGCTAGACCATTGTTAATGAGGAGAAAGTTGCCTGTTTCAATATGGGGACATGCTATTTTGCATGCAGCAGCATTGGTGCGCATAAGACCAACTAGTTATCATGAATTCTCTCCATTACAGTTGGTTTTTGGTCATGAGCCAAATATTTCCCATCTTAGAATTTTTGGGTGCGCGGTATACGTTCCAATTGCCCCACCGCTACGCACAAAGATGGGTCCCCAAAGAAGGTTGGGAGTGTATGTTGGGTATGAATCTCCTTCTATTATCAAATATTTGGAACCTATGACAGGAGATATATTTACGGCAAGGTTTGCTGATTGTCATTTTGATGAATCAGTATACCCAACATTAGGGGGAGAACATAAACAGTTGGAAAAAGAGATAGATTGAAATTCATTATCTCTATATCATTTGGATCCTCGAACAAGTCAATGTGAGCAAGAGGTTAAAAAGATGATTTATTTGCAAAATGTTGCAAATCAATTGCCAGATGCATTTACTAACCTTCCAAGGGTTACTAAATCTTATATTCCAGCTGCAAATGCTCCAGTTCGAGTTGATGTCCCGATAGGACAAATTGTTAAAGCAAATGAGTCTAAATCACGTTTAAAACGTGGTAGGCCAATTGGTTCAAAAGATAAAAATCCTCAAAAAAAAAGAGGAACAAATGATCATGAAGATCATACCATAGAGGAAATTGCTCAAGAAGAGCCCCGAGACATAACAAATGATAAGACCACAAAGAAGGTTCAAATAACTGAAAATAATGAGAATGAAGAAATCTCAATAAGTTATGTCTCGACGAGAAAAATGTGGAATCGAAATAGTATTGTGGTGGACAATATTTTTGCTTATAATGTTGTTGCTGAAATAATGCAACATGGTGAGGATTTTGAACCAAAATCTGTCAATGAATGTAGACAGAGAAATGATTGGCCAAAATGGAAGGAAGCAATTCAAGCGGAATTGACTTCACTTGAAAAACGTGAAGTTTTTGGACCAATAGTCCAAACACCTGAAGGTGTCAAGCCAGTGGGGTACAAATGGGTTTTTGTGCGAAAACGAAATGAAAAAAGTGAAGTCGTCAGATATAAAGCACGACTTGTGGCACAAGGTTTTTCGCAAAGGCCTGACATTGATTATGTGGAGACATATTCTCCAGTGGTGGATGCAATTACCTTCAGGTATCTAATAAATCTGGCAGTTCATGAAAAGCTTGAAATGCGTCTAATGGATGTTGTCACAACCTATTTATATGGCTCATTGAACCACGATATTTTCATGAAAGTTCCTGAAGCATACAATGTGCCTGACGCATATAAAAATTCGCAAGAAAATTGTTCGATAAGGCTTCAAAAATCCTTATATGGAT